CGGTCGGTAATTAAAAGGCAATCGAACGGAACTGTACGGGCAGCCTAACAAAAGGGAATAAAAGTGTAGCTAGAGCATCCATTCCGCTACAAGCACCATTACATTAATCGGGTCTGTCACTTTTATTTATCTTCAAAGAGTCAGTCTGACAGCCATTAGAAGAGTGCTTTAGACACAATGTCAACATTGTTGTTTCTCACAAAGTTTTACATTGTCTGACAAAAGTGACAAGATCTATTCACTAGAAACACTTTGTTAGGATGAAGTCATATTGGCAATGAGAGTGTCTCTATAACTCCAATAACAATTAATCCTTACTTGTTATTATGCCCTAACTCACGTGACTCCTAATTCAAATATACCTCCATTTATTAACCTAAACCTCTAACTCCAAATTATATAACTTTGCACCAGAATATGGCATTAACATGACATTGTCATGTGTTTCACCAGTAGCTTGTGAAAACCTGGAGTTTTGCCAATCTGCCGGCAGAGTTACTCGACCTCTGGCCGTGTCTTTGTGGCGTCATTAGTCAGCCCAGAACAAGAGTTCACGACTGGCTAATGTGAATTCTGTGCTTATTTGAGAATCTTAACCAGCAGTAAATTATAGCAATTTTCTTTTCTTTTCTTTTTTAATCAGGGTAAGCAGTGGGAGGGCAGGGCACAACTACAGTTGCAAGAAAAAGTATGTGAACCCTTTGGAATGATATGGATTTCTGCACAAATTGGTCATAAAATGTGATCTGATCATCATTTAAGTCACAACAATAGACAATCACAGTCTTCTTAAACTAATAACACACAAAGAATGAAATGTTGCCATGTTTTTATTGAACACACCATGTAAACATTCACAGTGCCAGGTGGAAAAAGTATGTGAACCCTTGGATTTAATAACTGGTTGAACCTCCTTTGGCAGCAATAACTTCAACCAAACGTTTCCTGTAGTTGCAGATCAGACGTGCACAACGGTCAGGAGTAATTCTTGACCATTCCTCTTTACAGAACTGTTTCAGTTCAGCAATATTCTTGGGATGTCTGGTGTGAATCGCTTTCTTGAGGTCATGCCACAGCATCTCAATCAGGTTGAGGTCAGGACTCTGACTGGGACACTTCAGAAGGCGTATTTCCTTCTGTTTAAGCCATTCTGTTGTTGATTTACTTCTTTGCTTTGGGTCATTGTCCTGTTACAACACCAATCTTCTGTTGAGCTTCAGCTGGTAGACAGATGGCCTTAAGTTCTCCTGCAAAATGTCTTGATAAACTTGGGAATAAATTTTTCCTTCAATGATAGCTATCCGTCCAGGCCCCGACGCAGCAAAGCAGCCCCAAACCATGATGCCTCCACCACCATACTTCACAGTTGGGATGAGGTTTTGATGTTGGTGTGCTGTGCCTTTTTTTCGCCACACATAGTGTTGTGTGTTTCTTCCAAACAACTCAACTTTGGTTTCATCTGTCCACAGAATATTTTGCCAGTACTGCTGTGGAACATCCAGGTGCTCTTGTGCAAACTGTAAACGTGCAGCAATGTTTTGTTTGGACAGCAGTGGCTTCCTCTGTGGTATCCTCCCATGAAATCCATTCTTGTTTAGTGTTTTACGTATTGTAGATTCGCTAACAGGGATGTTAGCATTTGCCAGTGACTTTTGTAAGTCTTTAGCTGACACTCTAGGATTCTTCTTTACCTCATTGAGCAGTCTGCGCTGTGCTCTTGCAGTCATCTTTACAGGACGGCCACTCCTAGGGAGAGTAGCAGCAGTGCTGAACTTTCTCCATTTATAGACAATTTGTCTTACTGTGGACTGATGAACAGCAAGGCTTTTGGATATACTTTTATAACCCTTTCCAGCTTTATGCAAGTCAACAATTCTTAATCGTAGGTCTTCTGAGAGCTCTTTTGTGCGAGGCATCATTCATATCAGGCAATGCTTCTTGTGAAAAGCAAACCCAGAACTGGTGTGTAGGGCAGGGCAGCTGTAACCAACACCTCCAATCTCATCTCATTGATTGGACTCTAGTTGGCTGACATCTCACTTCAATTAGTTCTTGGAGATGTCATTAGTCTAGGGGTTCACATACTTTTTCCACCTGCACTGTGAATTTTTACATGGTGTGTTCAATACAAACATGGCAACATTTCATTCTTTGTGTGTTATTGGTTTAAGCAGACTGTGATTGTCTATTGTTGTGACTTAGATGATGATCAGATCACATTGTATGACCAATTTGTGCAGAAATCCATATCATTCCAAAGGGTTCACATACTTTTTCTTGCAACTGTATAAATGATGTGTTGTTGTAATCAAAAAAGGAGTTTTCTCAAAACACAGTTCTTTGGTTGGAGTAACGCTTTAACGCTATGCACATACAATGCTCATACAGTGTCATGAGTAAACTATTGTACCACAATGCAATAGGACACAATAAAAGTGAATACAGCATTTACCGTTTTGAAAGTCAGTAAAACATATAAGTTGTAGTAAATCCTCCTCTCACACGTATGAGATGTGGGAAATATGTAAAAAAAAATGAAAAAGTACAATGATTTTGGGTTATGACAGAATACAAATGTTAGATTCAAGAAGGCAATAGAATTGCAATAGTGAAGACTAGGAACAATTAGAATGTATAGTGCAGCAATAACCATGTTAAGCATGCTGCAATATTGCTTGTTTTGGAACTATTGATTTTACAGATAGCATCCCCATAATTACTTATTGCGAAGCTCAATGTCATGATGCAGTGGACACTTTGCATTTACCATGTTCAACTCTATAAAGTGGTAAGAACTCTAAGTAAGGTTGTAGAGTGATTATGAAAAATAATAGAGACGTGGTTTAATTGAAGCACATGGAGTGTGTAGTCTGTATGTGAACAACTCTGTACTTGGAATGGAAATCAAAGATAACAATAAAAGTTATTTTAGCTATTGAATAAATATACCAAGAGACAGACAACAGACACACAGATAAAGTGTGACAGACAGTCAACACACAGCAGTGTAGTGTCTATTGTAGAATATAATACCATTTTTGGAGACATTATACAAAAGATCAAAGGTTTAGTTGTATTCATAGGTCTATAGAACCCTAAGAATTTACTGGGTTTTCTTGTCAAATGTTTTTTATTGAATAGTTTTGCAATGTTAACATAGGAAACAATAAGAATAATAATGAACATTTATCAAGATAACATAAATGAATAAACACTCATTAAGAAAAAAATAAAACTAAAAAAATAAAAATTCAATAAAATAATAAGAACAGGGCAAAAACATCCATCCATAATGGGATTGGCAATAGCATCATTATAATAAGCAATATACCAGTACAAACAAGGTGGATCAAAATATTGTAACAGGGACGGTTGTCTGATGGACAGCCAGGCGATGTAAAAGGTAAATTTATAAACGAGAATACTTCTATTTAAATCTGCACTTTTTGTAAAATGAAAAAAGAGACCTTCACACATAAAGAACTTCAGCAAGCCAAATTGCGTTAGAGGACCGGAGTGTCTCTTTAAATTGATTTTCCTCTGCATTTCCAGGTGCTATGGAATGCAACATACAAACAAACACATCTATTACTACCGCCATCATTCTGTCTCTCTACCATAAATGCTATGTCATAAAAGCTTCCAGGGAGAGTTGGAAATGTGTCTCATTGTCCCCACGTTCTCACCTATTACATCAGTAAAGGGAGAGGGACAGAATTAATGGTGGCTGCACTAGGCCACAGCCTTAGTTTGGGAGTGTGAGTCCTACAATTTCAGATAGCTCAGGACATATATGACTGCTATTTACAGCTGCTGCCCTTAATTCTGCCATTACTGAGAGAGTAGCTTGGAAGAAAGTAAAAGTGTGATTCTCTCATTAAAGGACCACTATAGGCACCCAGACCACTTCAACTCAATGAAGTGGTCTGGGTGCCAGGCCCAGCTAGGTTTAACCCTTTCTGCTGTAAACATAGCAGTTTCAGAGAAACTGCTATGTTTACCTATGGGTTAATCCAGCCTCTAGTGGCTGTCTCATTGACAGCTGCTAGAGGCGCTTCTCGCTGTGATTTTCACAGTGAGAAGACGCCAGCGTCCATAGGAAAGCATTGAGAATGCTTTCCTATGAGACTGGTTGAATGCGCGCGCGGCTCTTGCCGCGCATGCACATTCAGCCAGGGACGTCAGAAGAGGGAAGAGAGTCCCAGCGCCGAGGGAGCCCAGGACTGGAAAAAAGGTAAAGGATTAACCCCTTCCTCCCCCTTCAGCGCCACAGGAGTGGGACCCTGAGGGTGGGGGAACCCTCAGGGCACTATAGTGCCAGGAAAACAAGTATATTTTCCTGGCACTATAGTGGTCCTTTAATCATTCTCACCATTCATGGTACAGGACCTGAATTAACCACATATACTGGTAAAATGAGAAAGGTTGCTTGGGAGGCACAGACAGTACTTAGAATGTTGTGGAATTCCTGCTGAGAGTGATGGCAGTTGAAGTGCACAGCTGAGGATCCCATTCATCCATACTATAAGTTTAGAGTGTAAGTTACACCAATATACACTTCCACATTATGATCACTCTCCCCACTTCAGTGATGGGAGTTACAGTGCATCAGATCATTAAACGTAGTACTTATATAAACATCTCTGAAATGACTGTGTTCTAGAATTTGTGTGCCCTCGGAGTAACCAAAATAACGCAATCTCAAAATCCCCATTTTGTCTGCACTGTTTAATTGACACCTAGTTGTCTGGTAAAGTTCTAAAGAAACTACCCACCAACTCGAAGTTAAAAACAATAATATTATTATAATGATTTTATTGTTTATGTAGCGCTGTACAATGGATAATTGAGTTTAGAGAATAATAACTGTAGTTGCGGTGATAGTGTGAGGATGCATTGATACTGTCGTTATCCAATCATAATCAGGCGTCCTCAGACTTCCTGCTTCCCTTGGAAATGAAGTCTTTCTGTCTGATGCTACACACAGTATGCGAATGACACTGAGCAGTTCAGATCGCCCAGGTTTCTCCATATCTTCATAATCCCAAACATTCATCTGACTCAGACATGTCATGCCAGAGAGAGTCCAGCTCTCTACCTTGGAGTCTGGCACACGGGCGTGTGGCTGTGTTGACTGAAACGTCTAAATGAGGTTGATAAATGGTGTAATTGCGTGTATTAGAGGAGGCAGCTAGAGGGATTGGGTGCAGCAATTCTTGCCCAGATGACGAGTGGACAGGGGCCAGATGGAAGGGGAGGTCCCTCTACTGCTCTACTTTTCTGAGATGAATTCAGGGGGGTCCAAAGAAGAAGGAGAGAATTAAAAAAAGAGGAGAGAAAAGCAAGATTTGGAAACCTGATAGGTGGTCGAGTTTTGTTTGGCTGATCTGACTTCTACGCAGACCACCAATTCCTCCTCCTCTTATAGGGTCAGTACAGAGAATGAGAGAGATGGCCACCGGCTGCAGGGCATCCGTGAAGCAGCGCGACCAATAACCGGGACTGTCACGGCCAGAGCTGCTGAGCTATTTTCCTCCAGATAAAGATCGTCCATAGTTTGCAGGGACATTGGCTGTTCGCACAAACCGTTCGTTTAAGGGAAGTTATGCAGACATCTGAGCCCTCGGATTTCAGAAGCAGCTTCCTGAGCTGATAGTGCCACTCGGCGTCTCGCAGCCTTGGACTTGATCTCCAGGGGATTTCATGTCCTCCGGCGTCTGCCAGAGGTGGATAGAACGTCTCCCAGAGCTGAATAGAACTTTTGCCAGTGGTGAATAGAACGTCTCCCTGAGGTGGGTAGAACGTCTGCGAGAGGTCACCCAGTTTACTAGAAGTTCTGTTTTGGACAGTTTTGGATCCAAACTACACAGTGTGTGTGTGTGTGTGTGTACAGTTATCTGCCTGTGTGCATGATTGTGTGTGTGCGCGAAAGTGTGTGTGTGTGTGTGTGTGTGTGTGTGTGAAAGTGTGTACGTGCTCTGCTGAGTGAGTGTGTGGAGTGCTGGGCTTCCTGATGACCACGGAGAATCCCAGCCAGCATTTAGATCCTCCAGCTCCTCTCAGAACTAGCCCCACCACGGGGTCTCTGCAGTCTGCATTGATGAGCCAGCCACAGCCTTCAGCCATGGAGACCTCCTCCTCTTCATCTTCTTCGTCTTCCAAGAACAAGAAGCCAAACTCAGGGCTCAGGCGACCAGAGAAGCCTCCTTACTCTTACATCGCCCTCATAGTCATGGCCATCCAAAGCTCCCCAACTAAAAGACTAACTCTCAGCGAGATCTATCAGTTCTTGCAAGCCAGGTTCCCCTTCTTCAGAGGATCGTACCAGGGCTGGAAAAACTCTGTGAGACACAACCTCTCATTGAACGAATGTTTCATTAAACTGCCCAAAGGGCTGGGGAGACCAGGAAAGGGCCACTACTGGACTATTGACCCTGCCAGCGAGTTTATGTTTGAGGAAGGGTCTTTCCGCCGGAGACCTAGAGGTTTCAGACGAAAATGTCAAGCCCTGAAACCCATGTACAGGATGATGAATGGCATAGGATTTAGTACTTCCATTCTGCCCCAAGGCTTTGATTTTCAGGCCCCACCTGCTTCCCTTGCCTGTCACAGTAATGGCTACAACTTAGATATGATGACAAACTCTATGGCTGGTGCATACGATGGCTTGGGTGGAGGTCACCATGTCCCCCACATGTCCCCTAACCCAGGCTCTACATACATGGCGAGCTGTCCTGTGTCGTCCAGTGGTGACTATGGCCCTGACAGCAGCAGCAGTCCTGTGCCCTCCTCTCCTGCCATGGCCAGTGCCATGGAGTGCCATTCTCCTTACACCAGCCCTACAGCCCACTGGGCATCATCAGGAGCCTCTTCTTACCTAAAGCAGCAAGCCATGCCACCCAGTAACGCTGCCTCCGCAGGGATCCACTCGGGCATGTCTTCCTACTCTTTGGAACAAAGTTACCTCCATCAAAATAGTCGAGATGACCTCTCAGGTAATTAGAGAAAATAAATCTGGGGAAACTGAAAGACCACTTGTGTACTTTTGCCATATTTGCAGTGGTACATTTTATTGTAATTTTTATTTCTGTGCATGTTACTAAATTATATATACAAATGTATAATATATATATATACACATATATACCATGTGTCTACGTGGGTTTCTACACAAACACAGATCAATGAAATAGATCAATATGGATCTATTCACTAAGCAGCGAGTTGTGATAAAATATCCCCGAGTTTGCGATTTTCTTGGCCATTTTAACAGACATTTAAAAACGGGTTTTCAAGTCCAAGCAAATCGCTGTTCAGTAAATACTCCCCTGATTGTCCAGAAGTAGATTGCCACTTGGATGAATCTCCATTAAGACAATGTCTTTACACGAAACCACTAAAACAGTAAAACCCTGTTCAACAAGTAATACGAATGTATTCAGCATGTCTGGTATTAGCCCTCCCTTGAGAATGGAGTTTAAGTTAATATAATGTGAAACTTGCCTTGCATATCGACAGTATTATATCTATTCCCTCTAGAGTGTCACATTATGTTATTACGGTAGCTAATTATTCCAAGCTCATTATACACTAGCTCGGCTGGGAAAGGGCTCCCTATTTATTAAATTAATGGAATATGGGTTTGTGAGGTTGAGTGACTGCGAACACAGGTCATTTGTAATTCACTGGTAAATGGGGCTCTGGGGGATTCTCAATTCACCAGTTTATCAGCCCCTAATATCTGACTTCTCGCCTTCCCTGATTAGCCATTAGAAAACAAGAGAATCGCTTCTACAAGCAATGATGGAGCAATTCAATTAAGAAATAAAATACAAATAGAATGCACGTGGACAAAATGAGTGATTTATTTTTTTACATTATCCATATGTGTTCCAGAGATGATTATTTATTCTGTCTGCTATCCAGAATAATTTGATTATATTTATAAAAGTATATATTTCTAACAGATCGACACATATCCTTTATAAAATGACCTCCTCTTCCTATAACATTGTTATTGTTAAATTTCCCCCTTCTTATAACATTGTAAAAGCGCTGCGGAATATGTTGGCGCTATATAAATGACAAAAATAATAATAATGCAGATTATAGAATTGTAAACCTGTCCTCAAATCTATTGAATTACAAAATGTATTGTAATATACCTGATAATTAATTACAGACCACATTAGTGAAATCTAGTATTAAAAAAAAATCAGAAAAAAATAATAAAACCTTGGCAGTATTAAAAAGCAAAGCTTAAAATGTTATCTATCAGTTAAATGAATGAAGATGATTTGGGGTTTATCCACTAAGCAATGAATTGCGCTGAACCCTGGATCACAATTCTAGATTTGCTTGGCAATTTGACACTTACTGCAGTTCACTATTTAGTGAATAAAGCTCTTTGTATATGAAATAAGTGTTTTGACTTGCAACATATAGTATTCTCATTTTCCAGCGGGTTGCTAAGTTTATCATGTCTGTCTCATAAAGATACACAGTATAAATGACTGGAGATGGGGGATGTTAAACTGCACAATATGCTAGAATTGTACTGGGAAATTAGCAAATAGGCCTTTTAAATACGGGTCAGGGAGGTTAACTAAACAAAGACAGTCTAGGCTGGACCACACCGAAGAGGATTTGAGCCTGACTTAACCTACATGAGAGTGGCCTCTTGTTCAATATTATGGGAATTTGAACATATAAAACTGCAGAAACTCTGAGTCCTTTCCCCCATCCTTGTTCAAATGTCAATCACCAGCCGTCGTGTAACGCAATCCCTATTATCTATAAATATACATCCCAGGAGAACTAATCTCTCTAACATAAGGGCACTCCACACACTACAAGTGGTTACAAGTAAATAATAGAGGAATAGTCAGAGTACAAAACTACAATACAACAGTTGTATATAAATTATTTTGCAATTATTAATCGCATTTGTAAAGATGCAAAGTGTTTAATAAGTAAAAAATAATAATAATAATAATAATAATAATAGCCAGAGGGAAAAGTTAAAAACGAGAGTGTTCTTAATATTCCCCCAGGTTTACATGCTTTAATGCTAATTAGTTTATAAATTAGGAGTGTCAATATGAGGGGGATATACTGCTTTAATATATTATAATCGAAATATTCACCGGCTGGGCAGAATACTGATTTATTAAATATAGTTTACATCATATATTTAACGTTTTGTATATATGTATAACGTTTCGACATATGTTAGCAGTTTTTGTGAAGTCAGAAACATCCATTTGATCAATGAGACACATTGTTAGTAATATAGTTGCAAGGTTATATTGTATTAATTTTATTGCTGACAGTGGATGTATTGTATATGAAATGCTAGATTTGATAAGGACAGTATTGACCTATGAGCTCCCTCCATCAGATTTCTTAACTGGAACAATTCTTTGAGCATTAACAGAGTTGATTACTGCAGGAAATCTTTCTAGAGTTGATTGTGACAATGGCTTTGAAATCTTCATTATCCCATTGTTTTGTGTTTCTCAAACGACCCTCTGGGGTATTAGGACAGCCAGTGCATGTGGATTGCTAGTAGATAACATTGCACTTGGACAGCTACATATCGCTGAGCGAAGTTTTTTTTTTATTACAAATCTTTTTATTTGAGATATATGAAATTTGGTCCAATTTTGCCAATCAGTTTTCGATATTCACCATAATCCCATATGTAAATTAGTGGCACAAAAGTTATGTTGTTTTTTTTATTATTATTATTATTATTATTATTTGTGGTTTATTATGTAAAACATTTTAGTCAGTGATAAGTCAATAATGTGAATAGGTCCTCATTATTCTTAAGAAAAATAATTTAATTATACTTGGAAGTATTTTAATCGAACTGTTTGTGATAGATGAGAAACCATTTAACAGTTAAAACTAGGATAAAACGAATGTTATTATTATCGCTTATTTATTCCTTAAATCGGTTCTCAAGTCACCAAAATTCGCTGCTCCCAAAGTAGCATTTAATATTGCAAGGACCTTGTTTTAATGAATCAATAAATAAACTTTATTATGCAAAAGAAATTTGTTCCATTTTAACTAATTGCAAATTGATATTAAATGTATTCTTATTTACAATGTATAAATCTATATCTCTCATTCATTAAATTCGACTATATAGGATTACACAGTAAAATGGTTGAATAAAAATCTTTAGCTTAAATCTAGCCAATGAACGCTTTCCCTATAATTAGCAGAAAAGAGCCAGCTTAAGTTTAATTAAGAGAGGAAATAAGCTCATTAAAGAAACAGCTTTACTGGTTACATACACTGATTTCACCTTAAGGATAAGGCGAATGAGGTGTATTAAAAAAATAAGTTTATAATGAGCTGCCTGGAAATGCCCCATAACCCTTGTGAAAATACCCCCACTACCCCTAGAAGGTCCATTTCTTCTTTATTTTATACAAGGAGACCCCGAGTCCCCACTAATACATTAAGCAGCAGAAATCAGTCCTTATTACAAGCTTTCATCTCTTATTAAATGGAAAGTAAATGGAGATTAGAAGCAGACAGACTGCTTTACTGAGGCTTCAAAATTCATATTTTGTCACATCGTTAAGCCGTGGAAATTGATTAAAACCGGCTATGAAACTACATTTGGGAAGTGTTATGTGAACTGAAGTACAGTGTAATTAGGTGTTAGGTATTACCAATAATTGTTCTTAGGAGATTAGAATTAACCTGGTGTAAAGTTATGTGTTTGTATAAATTGGAACAGCAAGGGAGAGATTTACTAAGAGGTGAACCGTTTTAAGGACCTTTTCTCTATTGATACCACTTCTCATTATTCTACAGAATAAAACTCCAATTTTACTATCTATGTAGGGACATTCTAAAATCAGATCGAGAGCATTCTATAAAGACTGTCACAGTAACTGAACGTTCTAATTTACAGAGACAAATCAGAAATAATGCAAAAGAAAAGCCATATTTATTTCAATAGTGTTTTACCAGCAGCAATACATTGACAAGTTAATAACAATAAAATATCAAAACGATTTCAGCACTCTGCCATAACTGTGTTATGTTATATACAGCAGTACATTCCAAAGTTGACCCTGGTTATTCCGCTATATGCAACTTTTACAATGTACTATAGCTATATTAAATAAATTAATGAGGAAGTTATATTATAGAAAATAATGCCATTGACATATTATGTGGCAGTCCTTATAAAAAACAATAATGAATGACGCCTGGAGAACTCAAAGCTGCCTTTATTGTCCCATAACACGCTGTCTATTCATCTTTTAATTTACACGATTTTTAAAAATTTAAATACGATTTAAAAAAATTATAATATTTGTCTCCGATCAGCTACAGTGCTAGAGGTCGGCTGTTGCTTAACACAACAGTTATTGTAGAATGCCAAACTCAATATACACACTATCTCTAACTCCTATCTCTGTATTATCATTATTTATTTTATTATTATTATTATTATTATTATTATTATTTTATACATGCTTTGACTTTCAATACAGGAAACATACACACTGTATATAATCACACTCATACACAGATATATATATATACATATATATATATAGGTATCTATACACACACTGATTTTGAGTTTTTATTCGTGATATTATGTCGTTTTTTCTGAAGAGTATTTATTTGGCAACGTTCTAAATGTGGTCGCCATGGAAACCAAATGGAATGTTCATTCTGCTTGCCCCACTCTCAGAACTGTTTTTATGTATACTATTAACAAAGGCACATGTGCCAATTAGTGAGTATTGCTGCTAGCTGTTTATATCACTGCAAAGCGTTAATACTAGGAATTAGTTTAGTTAATTCCTGTTAACAGGTCGAACATCTTTAATTTCAATATCATCTGTCAATAAATGCATTAATCCTGATTTTCTCTCTTACTGTAGGATTACCCCGTTACCAACACCACTCCTCCCCAGTGTGCGATCGAAAGGATTTTGTGTTGAATTTTAATGGCATATCTTCATTCCATCCCTCTGCCAGTGGCTCATATTATCACCATCACCACCATCAAAGCGTGTGCCAGGATATCAAGCCTTGTGTGATGTGAGGGGAACTGTATGAGTGATCATGCCTTCGTCATCATAACACAATGCAGCAGACAGTAACAGGACAATGTCTATTGGAAACCTTTATACACCCCAATAATATTCGCAGCAACATTGTCATTCCACACGGGGTAACTGGGCTATGAGATGTTTACAGATTAAAGGACATCTCCTCAGTGCTGGCAAAACAAAGTGAATAATAAGTACTGAAACTCTTGGATCAAAAAAGAAAAATCTTTAAAGATCAATAGCAATAAAATATTGCCACTTTAATTTTTACAGAGGGGTAATTTAAAATGATCAGCAAATAGATTTCAGTACATGTTTGAGAAATTGAAATCGGATTTTTTTGGAAGGGGAATAATATTTATGGGGAAAGGATTAAAAAAAAAATTCCTATTATTTTATCAAGACAAATAAATTTGATGGGAAAGAATTGTAATGTAACGTGTAATGTAATGTAACAAAGGCATGATTTCAAAGCTGCAAAAGATCGCAAGAACAGGTACACAATGAACTATATTGATAAACTTGCTTATAACCCACTAACCATCATCAGAGTTTCCCAAGAGAATGGGTGAATTTTGATTTAAACATGTATTTTCCATACATATTGAGGAAATCGTCGCAGTTTTTTTTTTTTTCTATTATTGGAGAAGACCATTTTTAATTTGTAAATATTAGCTGCGATATTTTAATTGGGTACATGAGGGTAAATGGTTATCATAACGAGAAATTGTGGTGCAGGGTTCTAAATATGGAACTATAAGCACGAACGTTCTATTGGTTTCCATGGCGACTACCCCAACATTTAGAACTGTGCCCCCGAATTGATCCTTTTAAGTAACTCCCAATACTCTCTACAAACCGTGCTGCAAAGTAAATATACAATAATTATATGTACTTCAGACCTTGTAAAGTTTTTTTTTAAAGTATACTAAATGACAAGGGTAAGCATCTATTTCTCCTAAAAGAAAGTATATTTAAAAAAAAATAATAATACTGTTCCCCTATGCATCTCCAGCTTGGGGCTAGCATAAAAATAATTGCAGGGGTGGAAAGAGAATTAAGAAAGGCTATTTTCAAAAACCTGCAACTATAAATATATATATTTTCTTACAAAGAAAACCAGACCTAAAATGATAGATTTGCAAACTTGTCTCAATTTACAATTGTGTTTTTCAGTAAAATCAAACTTATTAAGAACATTTTTGTATATATTAATGAAACAAATGCTTTAGTATGAAGGGGAAAAAAAACAATGTTATATTTTTCTTACCACACTAGTTTTGAACATGTGTTATTAAACGTGTATAACCACACTCTTCTTTTGGGGAGAGAATATATTTGCACTTATATATGCTTTAAAAGTTGCTCATCTATGGAGATGTACATTTCTGTTTTTAATAAAACGTGTATAACTATTCCTTTAGAGAGCACATGATTTTTTTCTGAATTTGGTACAAGATTTTATTACTGGAAAATTCACTTTCTTGTACAAGGTTCATATTTTTATGAAATGTAATAGTTTTTAGTTCTTAGAGTGTCCCTTTAATGCCGTTCTGATGCACAAAATACTATGCTGACCCAGTGACAAATGAAACCTTTCTGCATGTGGTTGAGTAATAATTTAGTTTTTGATATCTGCATGACTGCAGGGTTAAGAGATTAGTTAGTGCCAGATGGCCAACGACTATAGTGACTACTGTTCTTAAGACTGTGGGCTCACAGAGCCCCTTGAATCAAATGATTACTCCAGGTAAGAAAATTGGTTCTTCACTTACTTGTTTTGCATAATTTATATCATGCTTAATATAGCTATGGTTGTTTGCAAAGTTGTTAAAGAAATGTATTTAAGGTTTTAAATGATTGAGTATAACACATGCAAGTATTGATCATTTTGCTATAGCTGATAAATGGGAGGAGAGAGTCCTTGAGTCATAGTTGCTAAACTTAGCCAGCTTTTCCGAGGTTCCTGTCTCATGCTTGCATAACTGAAGGGTGAAATTTGGTGGATTGAACTGAATTACAATAAATTAGGCTAAAAAACAAGCATATATAATTTAGATGGGATTATTTTTTTCCAAATCAGCTATTTGCAATAAATTGGTTTAATTCACAAATATTTATTCATTAAGCATGATGTTTCAAGATTCTAGGCCAATTGGAATACATTCTCCAAGTCGTTTATGTTTACAGTCCAACTATTTCAAACACAACTTTGAAAATTTTCTGACAATTCACTCATTAGTTATCAACATTGATAATAAAAAATCCTGATACTTGAGGGTCTCTTTCAGGGGCCTCTTGCTCCCACTGGCAGACACAGGTGAATTATGGCTAATTGGAAACCAAATTGCAAAAGCTGAAAAATGTTATATATATGCCTTTTATAATCACATTTTATTTGTGTGCCTGTATTCAATGTGATAATAATCTGAGAACTAACATAATTTAACAACTTGATCTGAATATTGTTAAAACTGCATAGTATTTTAAGTAAGTTCCAATAATGTTCCTGGGTTGAAAAAGCTGGTAAGGAGGAGTTCAATATTGCCCTACTACAAGTTAAATTTTTCTCTCCCCAGATCACTCAATGCTGTATATATTTATTATTTTTAAGCCATATTTACATCAAGCCAATAACATCTGTGAATTGCCAGAAGTCTTCTGTTTCCTGTCGCTTTCCCAGATCCTATTAATAAAAGTTGTTTTCTAAATAAAAACACTTAACTATTAAAGTACCAGAGGTCTAAATTAAGCTTTCATTGGTCCGGGCATGTTTCTAGAGGACAATTCCACTCAAGTTCCTGCTTCCTTCTGCAGGTCACTGTCACCCTGGTCAAAAGGTCCCCTGCAGGTCAATGTCATCCTAGGCCAGTTAACATCTAAGTTACTTTCACCATCAGCAACTGTGCTTCAGCAAGTCATTGTCATTAAATGGTCACTCTAACAAACAAATAATGTTTTAACAAAACACTGGTTTTGGTCAGAGTAACCCTTACTATCCTGGTCCCCCTCCTTTAATAAAAGGAAAAAAGAATAAAGCCAAATTCTACAGCTGCCTGCTGATAGTGGGAGAGGAGGTTGAGCGGAAGGAATAGGCGTTTGTCGCCAGCATGTTGTGTTTGCTGAAAACATACGTCTAATATGCATAGAATTGACATACTGAACAGCTTGTCACTCTTGTCCAAGACTGGCTAATGAAGCTGCTGGAGGTGGAGTTACGGCACATACAGACTATAAACACCACAATCACTTAGAATTACTGAAGTGGTCATGGTGCTTTGAGTAACCCTTTAAGCGCTAGGTCTCCTAATACTATATATATATATATTGAAAATAAAAGTTACATTTTATTTTTACACCCTTGGAGTCCTGGGAGTGCTTTCTCTACGCAATTTGTGTGTGTGTGTATATATATATATATATATATATATATATATATATATAAAACCAAATTGCGTAGAGATAGCACTCCCAAGACTCCAAAGGTGTAAAAATAAAATTGTATCTTTCACTACATAACGCATATACATAGCTAATTACCTGCACAAAAATGGTAAAACTAGAATAGCAAATTTTGAGTTTACCCTGATTTTTATTTATAAAATATAAACTAATACATTTCTACTATAGAATTATATTACACAATCCTAAAATGTTTCCCAGCCATAACAGAGACACCCACGCCTTAAATACAAATATGCTTGCCAGATATTTGGGATCTCTACAAATCCATTACTACACATGGATGAGTGTGTTTGTGGTTGGGTGAATGCATGGAAGAACAGTCAGTGCAAAACATCTATAAACTGTGTATTTGATTTAGACAGAAAAGCTGTAGAGAGAATTCTCTGCCTAAATTTGTATTTATGTTTTATTATGGAGAACTGCATGTATTATAACTGAATTCATGGAAAATATTCAGAGAGCACAAATCTGTATTTTTTCCCCTCATTTTATTATAAACAACTTTTCACCTAATTATTCGGTTCACACTTTGAAAGTAAGCTAGTGCAAACAGTCTCCGAGTTTAGCATACACTTAATAATTACAGCTATTGAAATAGAAACAGGCTATGATGCATTATTGGTGACATGAGTGGAATTTCTAAAATAAAAAAAAAATAAAAAAAATAAAAATATTTTTTTGTCATGCATACACACAAACATCTGCCTAGTTTAGTACAAAAAAATCTCCAAGCTGGATTTTTGGAGTAAAATAAAAAAAACAAAAATCTCAGAACAATCAATGGGATAATTTATTGCATTTCTAAGGAAACTTTTTTTGGGGGGGAACTCAACTATACAGTAAACTGCTTATTGTGTTTTATCAAGCCTAAACCTAATTTAGAAATCAATATTACACTTTTTCAAACCATCTAATATCACTATAAAATAAAGACTGCCTGTGAGTGCTCTACAAGGGATTGTAATAAAACCAAATTTTAGCCAGGACTATTTAGGAAAGAGTTTTTGATGTTTCTGACCAATCTTTGTATAATTTACTAGGAGGCATGAAGTAGTACATAGTTACAAACACTATATCGACAAAAGCATAGGGACACCAGACCATTATCACCAACAGGAATTTTTTGACATTGCATTTTAAATACATAGACAATAATATATAGTTTGCCCCCTCTCCCCTCAGCTATAACAGGTTCCACAATGCTGGGAAGGCTTTCCACAAGATTATGGAGTCTTTATATTGGAGTTCTTCCCCTTCATCAAGTAAAAGATCTGTGAGGTCAGGCACTGTTGGACGAGAAGGTCTAGCTCGGAATCTCTATTGCAGCTCATCCCAAAGGGGTTCAATGGGGTTGAGGTCAGTGCTTTGTGCGGGCCAGTCAAGTTATTCCACACCAAACCCGTCTAACTGTGCTGTTATGGACTTTGCGTTTTGAACTGGGGTACAGTTATGCTGGAATAGAAAAGGGCCTTCCGCAAACTGTTCTCACAAAGTTGGAAGTGTAGCATTCTCCAAAATGTCTTTCTATACTGAAGCATTAAGATTTCCATTCACTGTAAGTAAGTGGCCTAGTCAACCTCCAAAAAACAGCCCCATACCATTATCCCTCCTCTACCAAACTTTACAGTTGGCGCAATGCAGTCAGGTAGGTAACATCTGGCATTCTGCTAACCCAAACTCACCCATCAGACTGCCAAACACAGAAGTGTGATTTGTTGCTCCAGAGAACATTTTTCCAGTTCTGCAGAGTGGTGGCATGCTTTACACCACTCGAACCAACGCTTGTCATTGTACTTGGTGATATGAGGCTTGCATGCAGCTACTCAGCCATGGAAACCCATTCCATGAATCTAGTGCAGCACAGTTTGTGTGCTGATATAAATGCCAGAGAACGTTTGGAACTCTTCAGCTATGGAATCAGCAGATCGTTGGTGACTTTTACACACCATGCACCTAAGCATCCAGTGACCCCTTGTGTAACTTTCCATTATCTTCTACTTTGTGGCTGAGTTGTGCTGTTCCTAAACACTTCCACTTTCCATTAATATCACTTACAGTTGACCGTACAGTTGATATTGTAGAATATCAAGCAGGGAAGACATTTCATGAACTGACTTATTGCAAAGGTGGCACCAAACGCAGTACCACTTGTGATTTCACTGAGCTCTTCAGAACAAACCATTTTTCTCCACAAATGTTCGTAAATCCAGACTGCATGGCTAGATGCTTAGCTTTTTACCTGTGGCAATGGGTCTGATTTAAACACCTGAATTCACTAATTAAGGTGTGTCCCAATACTTTTATCCATATTCCATTTTCAGTTCTATTTTGACCTTAAATTTGTATTTACTTTGAACTCCCAGCAATTCTTGATTGTGTCAAGATTAAGTTCCTGCTAGTTGCCATTAAAGTGTGGATAAGAGGTTTAGTTCTATGATACCAAAATTGCCCAAGTAGGTGCCAGTTCAATTTTACAACCCAAAATTTGTACCATAATCTTCAAATGCACTCCCAAATTACACTATACTTTGGATTACACCTGGATCAAATTGTGGGGTCTGGGGATACATTCAAATAAATAACACATAATATTTAAGTGGACTTTTGTAGAAGAGAAAAACAATAGTTCTTTCAAATGTATTACTTCCTGTTGTGTCTAGCATTTTTACTATATTAAATATAAAATAACTGGTATTTGTCAGGTATGAATCCGCAATCATATAAATAATAATAATATTATAATAATGCAAACATGGCAGTAGTCTGGGAGATTTAATAAATCCACTAATCCATCCATCCTTTTCCGTGTTCCACTTTTCACTTTTCTTTCAATATATATCATTTTCATATATAATTTTCAATTGCTCATATTTTTTTCCTATATATGTACAGAAAGAGCTCTCTTAGCCTTCTCTATGGGCCCTTCACACATCTTCTAATATGTTGTTTACTACATCTCTCATAATGCCCTTACATCCATAATGCTGCTGGCAAAGCATCATAGGAGATGTAGTCTACAACATATGGAGTGTGGAAGGTTGCCTACCCCTGTTCCCAAACCAGTCCTATTTATCCTAAGTGATTCTTTGTTATCAATATCCCTATTGGAACAGAAGTTCTGTTCAGGGTGGACTGTCTGACACATGCGCACACACACACACACATTCATACAAACAGAAAATGTATACAGGTGATACAGATGTAAACAGATAAATAAGAAACAGAATTACAAATTGTTCTTTCAAAAAAGGAGCAAAGTACAGACTAAATTATATATTGACTGGAAAAAGGAGCATTTCACTCTGCAAAAATAAATAAATGTAGATCTAAGATATAAAAATGTGGTGTAATGTTTTATACTGTTGTATATGCACCTCAGTATATACTTAGAGACACTGCAGATTGGTTTTTAAAATGCTGCTTGGCATACTATGCAGCAGAGTAGCAGATGTGTTACATAAAAAGGATCTCAGTTACTTTCTAGGACAAATCTGGTTTTGGTGAAATAGTTTAAATAAATGGACAAGATCTCTGAGTGTGTAGTACTGTAGATGGCATAACTCTAAGATTCTCAGGCTAAAATGGCCCAATTTCAGATATTTCCATAATCATTGTGTCTAATCCTTTCGCTCAGGGTTCAAGTCCTGGGTAAAAAAAAGTGTGGGAACTCACCCATGGCCTGAGTAAGGTGATAAAAAAATAATGTAAAGTGCATTCACCCCTCCCTGAGGCTTACCTTGGGCCAGGAGAGGTGGGACAGGATCTGGAGCCTGCAGCCTGCAGTCAGTGGAGTCAGCTGGCCTCTCCTGATGATGTCTGGAAGAGGGGGCGTATCTTCCTCTGCTCTTCTCCCAGACTCCCCAGCGGTCCAGAGAGCAAAGCAGTGAAAGTCATGCCCCCTCCTCCTGACATAATCAGGAGTGGCCGGCCGACTCCACTGGCTGCAGAGAGAGAGGTGAGTTTAAAATCCGAGTCCCCAGCCAGAGGCAGGGGATTCAGATTTGTGCTCCCCTGGGTCCTGCATGACTAGTAACGGGAACGGCAATCCTGCTGTGGAAAAAGTGCCGTTCCCATGCATTTCCGCAAGCCCTGCTTTCACTACAATAAATGAACATTTAAGAAAGACAGACTATCCGCATCCTGGTGTTACAGATGGGACAAAGTGAAACATTTATTTGAACCACTGGGTCATGTTATATAAAGACACAGCAGCAATTTTCTGCATAGACTGTTGTTCAGGGACAACAAAAAGTGAAAATCTGCAATCGTCTACTTTGTTTTTAATTTCAGAGTAACATTGTCTCACAGTACTTGAAGGGGACTTGTTACTTCTATAAAATTAATTGTAGTAATCCACACATTTATCCTGGAACTGGACTCCTCTATCTTGGCTTCTTATTCTAAATTATGCACTTATCTGACATTGTACATGTGATTGTTTAACAGAAGCCATAGGTTATTTTAAATTATGTATTTAAAAGTGACAATTTTGCTTTAAAGGAACACCCCAAGCACAATAAACAAATCGCAAATTGCAGTGTTGGTAGTGGAGGCAGGTAGCCGTGCTGGCAGACTCTAGGTAAAAAGTCAAACTGATCAAAAATTGTTTGACTACCTACAATGGGGGGGGGTGGGGAGGGGGAGGACAGGGCAATAATAAATAATGGTTATGGTACTTATGTTCCTTAAAATACATAATGTAGGTTCCATAACCATTTCAACTCATCAAAGTGGTTATGATGCATTGAGTCCATGGGCGATGTCTCCCGCATCCCTGTCAAACTGTTTTCTTAGCACTTTCAGCCTAGCCTCCAATGATTGTATGGCGAGGGTTTCTGCCTTACACCAACCCAGGAAGTCTCAGACTGAGCGCTTTAGATGAGGTCTCAACCAGTCTCTATTCACTCTTATTGGAAGTGAGTGGTATGTCTGGTATGGGTCAATATGCTGTAAAGGGGAGCTGCTCTCTGCCTTCACCATATAGTCATTGAAGCCAGGGTACAAGTGCAGAGGGACTCTGCATCCTT